CGATCTTACGTTGCCAAATATACGATATAAACGTAATAAGACATGTACCGAGGGAAAATTTCAGTAAAAACGTCTCGAAGGCTACTGGGAAAAATTTTGACTCGAAAAGGAACAAACGCGTAAACTAATGAAACGCCAGGCGAAGCGTGTGTTTGTACACGCGTTATTAATCTCCTTGTATTCGCCGTTGGTACGTAATTGTCATTCACCGATCGATATTTGTCATTGGTCTCATTGAGAAAACAAGCAATTTGTTATCGGAGGAATGATACGTCTGATTATCTAACCGTAGTTACGCATAGGGTGAATTAACTTCTACGTAGAAACTTGAAAAATCTAAATCTTCAGCATCGATCAACGAACTGTGTGTTACGATTATCTTAAGAATTACCAAATTATCAAATTACGACTCTCGTTAAAGTGAAGTAATACAATTTGTAGTACATACCATAGGTTTTTTTCTCTAATCAAGCAACAACTATATTGCAGCCATTGATTCATTAAATAATTGCTTTCATTCATCGGCATACTTGAATGCAGAAATTCCACGGATAGATGTGATACAAGTATAAGATAAGGAAAGTCGAAGATATAAAAAGATAGAAAGAGCTAGCAGTTTCTATTATTCGCTTTTATCTTCGTTGGTATGAATCAAAAACAGTTGACCTAATCATCGTGCAATATTATTTACGTTTCAAGCGCCACTAGATTGTAACGTTACATTTTCGCTAGCTATTCACTAGCGCTTCTAATATATCAATAGAATTCTGTAACCGATACGGGAAAAATATATGGACGGAGTGGAAAAAGGACTGCATATATGAACACATTTAAACAACATGCATTGCAAATTCTGCGCACATTGGCGTCGATATATAAATATTTATGAATTGATACTTCCGAACAGAAATTTAAAAACGTAATTTGAGGAATGATATTCGTGTGTGGACGTCAATTACAACGTCAACTCTAGTGTGGTATACCGAAGTTAACCTTATAATTGCTCTCTTTAATGTTGCAAAGAAGATATATAAAAGAATTAGAATAAATAAAACGACGTGAATGATATGTATCACAAAAAAGCACCGAGAATTTCAATTCCCGGGAAAACCCTGTAATAAATTTCGAATGACTGTATTAATTAAACTTATATTGTCATAAAAAGTTAGTTTCTCGTCTGTACAGATTAATTGCAAGATTAAAGCAATTCGATAAGCGTACGAAAACCAAATCTCTCTTCTGTAAAGGGGAGATCGTATCGCTGAAGAGTTATTCTATACATAATATTTTCCTATGTGAAGGCAAGAAATGAAGTTACGTAATAAAAAATTATTTTATCAGATCAAAGAATTGTACGCTCCCATTCACTCACGGGCAGCTTCGATCGCTTTAATTCCGTTAGCTCGTAACGATACTAGTTGCCAAATTTACGATTAAAGTAGAGATAATCGCTTGCAATATTAATCTTTCAGCTCGTTGACATCGGAATTCTAATTATAAAGAGATTTTGGTTGTTTGAAGTTGTTCGTAATAATAAAAATATCTAACTATAGAAACAGAAAGGCAAGAAAAAATTGATATTCCAAATCTGAAAGAGCATGTCCACGCTCGAGCAATCAACGCGGAATCTCGTGATCTTCGACCCTGCATCGAGACCTCGTTGATCGACCATGACGATTCACCGAATTATTACATAAACGTCCTAAACCGTCATTCGGGGTAGATCATATGGCCAGAACGTTCGTAAATGTTCGTTTCGACGACTCTTTGACGTTCGATTCTAACGAGTTTGTCACCGACGCAAGAATTACACAACACGTTATCCCTTCTTATTCTCACTGTGCATTAAAGAAAAAAAAAACGCACGAAACAGAGAGCCCTCGATGGTGCATTCGACGTTGGTCGATTTCGAATTGTTGCCAGGATTTGTGCATCTATGTTTACCCGAGACGGGCGTGTTGTAATCGCGGATGCGCCAATTTGAATTCGGTCGAAAGTGGTGTACGAATAAAAATGCCAAAAATGTTGGTACACGCGCGGCCAATCGGCGCATCTCGAACCACAGACTCTCGAATCGAGAGCAGCGAACCGCGGCACGATAACTCGCGTGGGTCAATTTCGTTGTTGGCGCAGACCGCGAAACTCAGCACGCACGCAAATCTCAAGCAAAGCACACACACGCGTTGTTTCGGCACTGCAATCGTGACAGCCAAGGGATTTCAGGTTTCTGGGCCAGCTTCACTCGATCATTTGCCGGCGACCATGAATTGTCAATAATTCATTGCCGCACCGGGAAATACTGTGCACGGAAAGATCGAACGCGACGCAAACGATCGGAAGACGTAACACGGTGAAACAGACGAAAACACGTCGAATCTCATTCAATAATTCGGTGTACTTACGGTGTTGCACGCCGGGGACAAGGTAGGCCAGACCCCGTCCGGCTGAAGTCTAAGCCGCAGTGAAATCTTGAAGCACGTCGAACTGTTCTCGCTGGTACACGCGTTCGACCTCTATGGAAATAGACAGGCGCGATTGGTATACCAACCTGCGCCTGCTCGTACCGTGATGCGCGTTTCTACGGACGACCGACGGTGTCGCCAGCTAGCGGTTACGCCGACCGAGGAATAACCTTATCGCAAGTTGGACATATTGTCTGATAGTGTATCGTGCGAGTTTACTGACTACAGAATAATATTTTTGTTCGGTGATGTGTTCTGAAACGATTCGAGTCGTTTTGAGCATGTACACACAGTGAAACGAAGAGTTCGGACATGATTTGAAGCTTCTGAAAGTCTCGATGAGTGTTGAATCTTGAGGCCTCGCCGGGGCTTCGATCTTTAAAGTTTCGATGAGTTTTGAAAGTCGCGATAGATTTTGTAAATTTTAAAAATCATGAAAGTCTTGGCGAATTTTTAAATCTCCCGAATCGTATCGAAGTTGAGATTCAAACTCTCGCCGCTACTCTTACCGAGATACTCACATTGTACCGTCGAGTGTCTGGTCTAGAAGAAACAAATAGAGTTTAGTTAGCAGCGTAGCGTATTAACAACGGCACGGCCAACCGAGTTTGATAGTATTATTAAATAGATTAATAGAAAGTTATATTTTTCGAATGTATCCTTTTTAGGGGAAAAGATCCATCTATATAGAATATAATCATACCTATTTATATATGCAATGTCGTTTTATGTTTTAATTATCCATGTGATTAATCGAAGTTATTACATTCACGTTCACATTTCGTTTCTTATTAACTTATGCTAATATAATTACATGTGTGCATATTAATTAGAGTTCACAGTCCGTTAGAACGAGTTCGTAAGAATAAGCCAGATCACGTGCCTTTCTGAACTATGTTCCACACAATTAATAAATTAAATAGTCATACCACCTGTAACCAAAATATTACTAAATCTTTCAGAATGTTGGTGAAAATATTATATTTCCGATAAATACATATAAGTAATTCTCAACAGCTTCGGTTACATAATATGCGTCGCTATCTACCAAGTAAGAATTACGTCAATTACAATTTGCAACGGAAGAAAAAAAATTATACCTAATTCAGCTACTTGCTTTGATAATCATTTCTCGAATACGCGTGTCATTTTGCTCACTAAAAGGTATTGCAAGTTTCTTTAGAAAACGGCATACAATATAGTACCATTTGGCAGTTTCTTATCAAGCATTCAAAAATGACACTAGTAGGTACTAATAATAATGTATCGCGTGAGTTTACGTCAAAATCGGATCTGCCAATCGCGTCACTTTTGACGAAGTCTCTTCATAGTAGTTTCCGAGTTCTTCTTACCACTAATTCTACTTCAAGTTACAAAAATTTGTGACACATTAATTTTTATATATCGTTATAACATTCAATCTTGGTGCAAGCATTTATCGCGTTGCGATAAATCATCTATCATATATCGAGATCACATGTTTAAAGTAATTCTATATTGAGACCGTAATCTCCTGTTTAGAGGAATATTACTGAAAGTATATTTGTTTACATTTAGAAATCGTTCTTTCACTCACTGAAAGATAAGCCTGTATTTACGTGTGCCAGGAATATCGTCAGAGTCCGATTGATAACGGATGATGTAGAGACACCGAAAATGTTATCGATAAGTGACCTGCATATATCTGCATATATCTAATACTGTATATATCTAGCAGAAAATTTAAGAAGGTGGGTTACCAGAGTTTTGTTGCGCAACTCAAATATTTACTGATAAACTGATATAGAGCAACGCAATTTCAAAGCTAAAGTTATCATTTAAAGTGCCACTACTTACTGACTGTAAAGAAAGATTGATATATGAAAATATTAACGTTAATATCATCGTTTGGAGAAACGTATTCGTTGTCCTCGTATGGACGCAAAATAATCTTCAAATTTTCGTTTAATTTTTATTACAATATAATTTTAACGATCACTAGTGCTGTTTTATGTAAAAATATATGCGCAATTCAATAAAATATTGATTCTTTATGGGTTATTTATGAGATAAAATCCACATATACTACGTAGTCCGGTTTGGAGATCAGTAGAATAAGGCAGGGATAGTATACCATCAGCCGGTAGGCATCTGCCTGACCTAACGTGTCTATTTCCCCTTAACATATCATACGATGCAACTGTTCAATATTCGATTTCTACGAATGATGTTGCATATCATTATGCATGATCATAAAAAAAAAAAAGAAAAAAAAAACGAAGTAACGTAAGAAATAACGAATTTAAATATTCCTTCAAAATTATTACATTACAAAATTGTAAATTCTTCGTAAAACGAGAAATAAATGATTATTAACGGATAATTTAGGCTAGATAGAAAACTTGAAATATAAAAGATAAGAAACAAAAATAAAAAGTCATATGATATGGAGATATCAAATTGTATAACTGCTTTAAATTCACATCGAGTCGATATCTTTTATTTTGTACATGACGTAAAAAAGAAAATATTTTCGAAAGAACAGAAAAACTGATTATCTCTTGTTTACGAGATTATATTTATACTCTAATAGTACATCCGACATTTTCGTCAGCAACAACTAATTGATTACGAAACTGAAGGAAAGAGATATCGCATGTATCATGCACTTTATGTTTTCTGTATTATTCTTCTTCAATTATGCAGATCATTTGTTGGATTAATTAAGGAAACATTAATCATCTGCACTCGCAAATTCCATAGAGCGAGCTTTGATATTCTTTTATACATTGTTGTGAGTAGACTGGTTTGAAGTCTATAACTTTTTTTATAAAGTGTCAAAGGATTTTCATAATCTTCTACTCTTTTATTTTTTATATAAAATAAGTTGTTGGATATGCGTCATTGGATTAACGGTTAGAGGATCTTATACTTGCATACGTCCGCGTGAACAAGTTTGCTGATTTCTAGGGAACATTGAATAATTTTTAATCTTATTTTTTTACATTTTAGTCTTTAACTGTCATCCGACAATATACATTGAACCTGTGATAATAAATTTTAGTATGTTGAGTCAAACCGTTATCATTCTTTCGCAATATACGTATATCTAACATACTCATCGTGTGAATGACGTGCTGCATCGTTACATAAGCGTATCAATGGGACGGTAATTTTAATTTTATCTGTGTCGAGTCATTGACTTAATCATTGACTAAATACAGAATAGACCTGACACTATACGGGATTTATTATGGAATTTATTTATTCATTTGTATCTCACATTCTGAAATACCGATCACGAGAAAAATCAGTGTGTCTCTTACGTTTTCTAGGATTTGCTACAACAAATATGAAAATTATATTCAATTCAATCGTCACGTCGCAAGCGATAACGAATTTGTCATCTTATGGGATATCGTCACACGTAACACTGTAATAGTACATTGGACGAGGTACAGGATGTATTGTCCTCACGGCAGCAGGAAAGTAAAGGATAACTCAAAACTGATCCGATACTCACGATTCAAAATCCCGCTCAAAATGGCCGTTACCAACGTGTTTTATTTCATATTTATTTACAGTCAGCGACTCTCCTCATTGGATGAATCGTGAATAGAAACCAATATGGCATCAAAGAACCGCGTAAAATACACTAAAATAAACGTTACATGTTAGACAAATCTATGTGTTAATCTATGATTTTACGTATGCATAATTTTTGAAGTGATAAATTCATAACATTCATAGTATCTTGATCTACCGGGGTAGAACCAAAGAAATGGATTTTGGATGTGCACGTTCACTGCAAAGAAACGTCAATTCCTGATTCTTTCATTTAGTATTTGAAAAGTTTGCGCGTTTAAAAGGACACTTTAATCCAATTAACTCCCTAACATTTCACCCTAACGATCGTAGTTTCTCAACGGGTGAAGAAGATGGTTTATGTTCGTATTAATATATTTGATCAATCTTATTTTAAGTACTAATTTTATGAAATAAAGATAAATATAGATGTATCAATTAAATGAATGGCATAAATTATTTTTTCTATTCATTTTCTTGGTATAAACATTAGAGTAGAGACCTGGTACAATATGTCAGAAATAAAAATTTACTATGTTATTTAAATTTATTGTTCATATAGTACATCATTTTTGTAGCAAAAACATGGAATAGTCCTAAATATTTAAGGCACGTAGGTGAATTATATTGAATATAAACTTATTTCTTATTTTAATAATTTAACACTAACACCTTACACTCTCATTTCCTTTCTAATAGAAACTGGTAAAAAATTGTTAGAAATAAACTCTAAATAGTGAAATATTTGCACAGTTGGTAAGAAAAAGTCCGACATTTTGTGTGAATCAATTATCCAGGGTTTCTACTATATATTAAAGTATATATTTATTCCAAACGTAATCTGAAACCAAAAAATTTTCTCTCTGCCAAAAGTTAATTTTTACAAATAAAATTCGATAGTAGAATAAATTAAGAAATATTTCTGTTTATTAAGAAATTAATTTATTTTATGATTGGACATGATCGCTTTGTAGCGCTGTCATTCATATAATTCATCAACATATACAAAGTGAAATATAATGAACCGTCAGTTTTCTACGACGTCATATTTATAAAACAGTGATTCTGGTAAGCCTGGATTTTATCAAAATCTGAAATAAAAAATATTTTATCTTAACTGTCACTTATTCGTCGTTATGGAAAAAATATATCTAAATTCTAATATTAATTATTGCCAATAGATTTTATATTGCTCTAAATAATGAAGTAACTTTGAAAATTATTGTTATTATTATCTTAAATTTAAATTATAGTTTATCGTAATTTAACGAAAATATACATATAAAACTATAGTTACTGGACATTTTGTAATATCAACAAGTACTTAGATTATCAAAGTAAATCATCAAAATATCAAAATATTGCTACAGATGATTTTTTAACCATGGAGCCTAGTGAAGAACAAAAATCTACATCGGAAGAGCAGAACTCAACCAAACTATTGAATATTAATCCAAGACTATATGCCGAGCCAGAAAGCCATTTGCAGAATCTTGGGTTTACTGTAAATAATGGAAAGGCTAGATTCAAATTGGATGAGGATGCACCTTTGTACTGTAAAGCAGCAGTTAAAGATGTTTGTGCTGTTGATGAAGATGACACATCATTATCTTTTGTGGTGCTAGGTAAAGATTCATTGGATACTATCCAACAGTCATCGCTTGCATCTTATGTTGATATTCAACAAAAATGTATGTCTATTGTACGTATCTGTTAATTGACTAAAATTTAATGTTCTAAATTAACTCCAGTAGACTTGTTTAAATTTAATTTTATATGCAGGATTATAATTCTATGATAGCGTCATGGGATTCAGCAGAAGTACATCAAAAGTTAAATGAGGTGTTACAAGAAAACACAAAATTAAAGGAAACATTGAAACAGAATAATATAGCTATGAAACAACAATTTAACACACTAGTGACGTGGCAAGAAGATATTATGAGAATACATCAAAATCATAAGAAAAAATTTGCAGAAACTAGAGAATTAATAAACTACCTTAAAAAAGAAAATACGGACCTAAAAATGAGACTTAGCTCTGAACTAACTAGTCATTCGGAAATGGGATACGAGGTACGTTATATCTTTTTTCCTTATACATTTGTTAATATTGCTATTCTATTGTAGTTTCTTGATGCAAATGATAAACAAGATACAGCAAGAGAGGAAAAAGTGTCTATTCCTGAAAATCAACTTAGTGAACAAGTTTGTTGTGAATTAAACTCGATATTGAATGAAAATACAGACAAAGTAAAAATACTAAAGGAAAGTGGGACTTCAGAATCCATTGAAAAAACTGAATCAGAAGAATCAGAAAAAGAAAACGCTGATAATAAACGATTTTTCGAAGAAGAAAAAATCGCACTTCAGAAAGAGAGAGAAAATCTTGAAGAAGAAAAGAAGATGCTTGACAGTCAAAAAAAGACCTTGGAATTAGAATACAAAAATTTAAACAGTGCTAAAGAACTTCTACAGCAAGAAAAAATCAGTTTACAAGAAGAACAAACATCTTTGGACCAACAAAGTCAATTATATGAAATTTATTATAAAAAGTCTTTAGAATCAGAAAAGGAAAAATTTCAAACAAAATATAACCAGCTAATTGCTGAAATTGGTGTGATGCATGAAAGTGTACAGAAAAAAAAAGCATGTATAAAAGAGCTGCAGAAAGAATTAGCACAATATGTAAGTATGATTTATTCAATAAAAATTAGAATCAAATACCTTTTTCTAGCAATAAATGTAATAATAATCTTTCATTATTAATGTAGGTGGAAGATAACAGTTTGCTGCAAACACAGTTAAGACTTCATGAAGAAGATTTTGGACAGGAGAGAAAACTCAGGGAGATATTATTACAAGAGAAAAATGCACTAAATGCAGATTTACAAAAACAAATAGAATTTAACGAGCGACTACAACAACAAATTAAATCTCTAAGTACGTGTGGAAGACCTGTAAGTTGCCAAATGTTTCTATGCTTTATAGATATATAATTTGACTATTTGTGATATATCAGAAATTATGTTATATCTATTCAATTTCAGACAAACATTATTGAACAATTACAGCCCCCACTGTTATCATTGTCATGTCCAAACTGTAATTGTACATTCCCAAATGTACATTTACTGGAAACTCATGTTAATGATTGTTTAAGTTTAGACTAGTGCAAAATCTTAAAATACATATTTTGTTAAATATGTGTATAATTATAAAAATAGAAATATTGATAGATATAAAAATGTTTCCATTAATGTTATATTAGACAACATACATTTTATTGTAATAGAAGTTGTAAATAAGATGAAATAAAATTATTTAAATTTTAGTATTAAATATAAAGTGCATGATTTATTACCTCCAAATTCTGACACGCTTAAATAAAAGAAAAGGATTTTCCTTATGATTTAATAACAAATTCAAGTATTTAACTATGTTAATATCGAGAATCCGTTAAAATAACATTTAGAAATATGCGTGAAAAGATATATGTACTTATTACAAAATGATACATATAGACTGAAAGCTTTTCTTTAGTGAAAAATAGAAAGTTTTTCATTTTCCTAACTAATTATTGAGATGCATAATTTGAAGAACAAATAAAACTCGCATGTGAGATTGGAATAATAAAGAGAATATATGTTTATGTATGAGTGTAAAGATTCTTGAAAACGAAAGTCACTGTTATATAAAAGTTTAAACTAACATTGGCGCACTGGAAAATTATTTCGAACTTGTATATATCATGTCAGAAAAAAATACAAAAATGATTTCGTCGCTGGTATTATGAACACTGTAAGTAGCTTGTAAGCATTTTTAATAGCTCCAAATTTTAATGCAAATTATTTAAACTACATTGTATGAATATAATGATATTGTTTGGTTTCTATATTGTATCATAATTAATCTCGAATTATCAATGAGTGTATATTATAGAAGATTATATTAGACAATTTTATAGGTTTCGTTCATAAAAAAAATTCTTATGTTGGTATTAAATATTCTTTTAGTCTTCTTTTCTTAGTTTATAATGAGTTATTAACGAAGAAATTTTTACAGTAAAGTTAGAGGAAGAGTCGTAAATGGAATTATACTTTCATTTCGCATAAATTAATATCAGCGAAGATTAAAATTTGAAAGGAATTGGTAAGAACATAGCTTTCATTGCTGTTGGTAGCACTTCTATAGCGTAGTATGTTTAAACTGTTTTCCGTTGAATCACAAACGGTTAAACGAAACGGAACAGAATACGTTTTAATCTCGTCGGCAGCCTAAAATAAGTATAAAATAAAATAGCGATGTTGCAGAGATACAAAGCATGTAATGCTAGAAATACAGAAAAAAATCGTATTATCCGCGCTGCAAGATATAAAGAGTCGCGTAAAAGTTACAGAGCAAAGGCTTTTAATGAAAATCGCAATATATCAAACACTGCGATAAATATTCAAGATGAAAGTTTGTATTAAACTCTATTAAAATTTTATGAATAATTATTAAAAATTGTTACTATTGGTTAATTAAAATTTAATTTCAGAAGCTCAGACTGATCCTGCTGTAGAAGATCGTCTACTTAGACTTGAAAAATGGAAAGCCGAACGTGAAAAACGTAAGAAGGTTGAACAACGTACAAAAAAACGACCGTTTATAGTTGGAGTTGTTCATCATAAAATATATTCGCCAATTACAACAACTACACCAGTTAATACACTTACCACTACTTCTAAGTCTCTTCCTAAACGAGTAACAAGGGCGACAGAGAAGCGATTAATGAATAAAGCAAACGAGAAGAAAAATGCAGAAAATTCAAGTAAGAATTTAAATGTACCAAATAAAAATCAGAGAAATCAGAAAAAGGCAGTGAAATCTTTCGCCCCTGAGGGACATAAATTTAAAGCTCCACCAGGGTTGCCTAAAATGCCATTATTTGGGAAAGTAGTCGTACAAAGTATGTCACCTGCCAGACTAAGTCAACTTTTAAATTCTCCTAAAAAAATGACAAGGGCTAGTATTAAAAACCATAGTACAGAGTTTATTGAAAAAAAGAATCATTTATCAGTAACTGATACAGAAGATAGTTCTGTGGAATCTATATCATTAAAATTATCAGTTAGTGATAAGGAAACACCAAGTGATAATGAAATACATAATAATAACAGCATCGCAGCAGCCTCTTCTTTAGACAATAATATGTCTACATCTATATGGTCAAGTTCTCCATGTGAACCAGCTTTTTTTTCACCTCATATAGTTTCTAGTCGTGGAAAAAGCAATGCCAGAAAAGAACAACAGTTAAGACGAGGTTTTAGTCTTACTCGTTCCTCGGACAACGATATTCCTACAAAAGATACAGTTATGAAAAATTTAAATATTTCGATTGAAGAAGAAGAACGTACTGCACAATATTTTCATTTTCTTTTGAATAAAGAAATAAATAGATTAAATGAATTATGTGAAAAATGGGCAGAAATCAAAACAAAGCCTGACACTACAGATGATGGTCAGTATGAAATAAATCAAGCTATTGGGCAAACAAAATTGTTAATAAGCAAAAAGTTTGAAAGATTTCGAAGATTAGTTAATGATTGTGAAACAGGAAAGGGTGAAATGTTAGTTACATGTAAGGATTTGCAAGGATTTTGGGATATGATGTACATAGAAGTGAGAAACTGTGATGTACGATTTGAAAAATTAGAAAATCTTCGTGCACATGCTTGGAAAGAGGAGGAATTGTTTGCTCAGAGACCAGTTGCTAAAAAAAAAGTTGTCAAAAAGAAAGTTGTATCAACGAAGCCCAGTTCTGTTAGAGCTTTCTTAGCAAAAAAGAAAATGAAGTTAAGAAATAGTGGTGATGCAAAAGAACTTAAATCTAAGTCCATTATTTCCAGCGAAAATGAAATTATATCTGTTAGAGATGATAAAAGATTAAGTTTATTGCAAAAGGTACAATCATCTGAAACACCAAAGATAGCAAAGAGTCCATTAACAATAATAAAGATAAGTCAGATGTGTAAAACTCCAAAGATTCAGTTAGATGATTCAATATCCTACATTAATTCTAATCGAACACCAGGAAAGAGTATATTGAAACAACAAAAAAATTTTAATGAAATAGAATCAACAGTAAAATCTGCAAATAAAATTAATTTTAATGATCATATAATTTTAAACGAAGTATCAATTGACGAAGAAACACAAACAAAGATGGATTTAGCTGCAGTATTATCAAAGATAGATAGCTTTGATAGTACAGAAATGAAAATTAACGCAGAAAAAAAGCTTTATTTTGATGACAGTGATTCTGACGAGGATGATTTTGATAATGAAGACAAAATTAAAAAATCTCTGGGAAGTAGAAATTCGGCGGACAGGAACATTCATAAAATACCGATTATAAGGGTAGAAAAAGCTACACCGTTACAAGAAGTAAATAAACGTTTTAATACACCATTCAGGAAGATCACCAGACAAAATGCAGTGGATGAGGATGAGTCAGTGTTAGATGGAACCTTTACATTAGATAAAACTAACAAAGAAACTTCAGACGATATAGATTCAAGTACATTGAATGACAAATTAAAAAAATACTCTATAAGTAGCAACGAGGAAACAAATGATCAAACTGACAATGTAAGAATATTGAGAAATAGAATTGTTACTTCAACAGGAACACCTATGCCTAGGCGAAGATCTTCCAGAAGAGTATCTGGTAATATACAAGAAACAGAATATAAAGAAAATGAAACTCCTATGGATAGGAGAAGAAGAAAAAGTCGTTTTAAAATAAATGCTAGTAATAATGAAAAGACAAATATAGAGTTGTTGTGTTATAGTTGTAATGACATAAGTCTGGATAAAAGTAGTGACAAGAGAAGATCCACAAGAAGTGTAAAATTTTCTGGCATAGGTAATTTTATACAAAGTACGTAATATTTTGTCTTTAAATGCAATGTTTAAATGAACATGTTTTATTTCAGAAAAAGAGTGCAGTAATAGGACAAATAAACCAATCCAACCTTTGACTCCTCACGTTAAAAAAAGTAAACGTAAAAGTAGAAGTATGTCAATGGAAACCTCTGGTTTGGGAATAGAAGAGAAATGTAATTAAATAATTTTATTTTAGTTTTTGTTAATTTGATATTATGTATATATTTTCTTTTATAGATATATATTTGTATGTAATTATAATTCGATTTTAGCGTCCCAACGTATCAGCAGGAGATCGCAAAACAAGAAATTATAATATTCGGTATTATGAAATTTGTGTAACTGGCTCATAAAGGTACAATAAGTTTTTACGATTTCTAATTGATATTTGATATGGATTATTTTTATTGCAACTATTGCTGTTGTCCAACCTTAATGTTTTATTTTAGATATATAATAGGGGCTAAATGCATTTTAATTGCATAACATATTCTTTACAAAGAATTAAAATAATACTTGCACATGATTTAGATTGGAAATTTATGTGTATTGTATAATTTATGTACGTTAATAAAACGGAATTATCGTTAAGGTGATGTTCATGTGGGTATATGCATATTTACAAAGTTGATGAAATAGATAGGCGCTATAATTGAATATCAGTGAATAATATATATATATCCAATAAATATTTCTAATCACGCGTTTCGTATTTGTTCAAGTTAAATTAGATTCATGTTAATTTAGGTAATTCTGTTTAGAAAATATTCAAAAATATTTTTTATTGACCTTATCGTGATAGATTATGGTTATTTCCTTGCATGACAATATGACTTATTGATTTATCAAAAACCACCGTCAATTTTAATCGGATCGCCAATGAAGTCATCTTGAGAGATTTTCCCTTGACTGACTGTCCATTTAGGAATAAAGATTAGCCAAACGCAGATTAATTGCTTTAAGGTCATATTTTCGCTCCTCTATATCGCGCATCAGCCAGTCAAGTAACTCTTCTCGCTCTGGATTGTTAACATCACGGACGTTTTCAAGCTTTTCGTAATACCCCCAAAGTCCACCTGAATCTTCAGACGGACACATCTTTTTCCTCTTGATGCATATCGGAACATGCGACAATACCTGATCGGATAATGAATCACACGATCCCAATTACTCCCGAGTCAATTACATAATTTACTTTATCCCCTTCCGTACTAAGAAGCATTTTTAAGAAAATCCTCTGTTGATACATCGCCGTATTACAAATTCCCCTTTGCAAAAATGTGCAGATGGTAGTTTTTCCAATCCATAGCCAATTGTATGACTACATACAACTTGTCAAGAGATATTGTCTTCGGAACAATCAGCCACCGTCAAATAGGTGGTTTGCTGCCAACCAATGTGATTTGTTAGCTAAACTCGCCGGTCTTGTTTTCTTAACTTTCTGGTCTTTGTTTAATTCAAAGACGAACTCTTCAGTCTGCCATGTGCCAGAAGTCACCAGGAACCTGAAACTGGAAAGCAATAGAATATACAATTGAATAATTTTCATCTAAAAATTTAACGTTTTATATTTTATAATTTCCATAGTTTCAATACGTTCAACGATATTTATATTTATAACTTTTAAAAGAATTTTTTAAAGTGACAATCTTAACGGAGACGTGGCTTAGATTTCAATCCTCTTGCCTCTAAGATGGCAAACTACCGAGGATAGGTTCTTCGGTCTCTTTATTCATTCATTTAAATCGACTGATTTTAACGATTTAAAAATGACACATTTTACAATTTTTTAATTGCAAAAATAATACGAATTTCTATGCACGAAATTTGTAAATTCATGTGCGCTACACCCCAAAGTAAAGATTTTATCGATTGTCTTCATTAAAATCTTCATTAGGTATGTTACGCTCGGACCTCGTCGAGAGTTATGTGCTTTGAGAACTTTTGAGAGATATTCAATATCTTTTCCCTCATTCAGTAGCTTGAACAGCTATTGATGTACTAGGCTCTGTATCAATTGAATAGCTTGGGAGGTTGTTGGTTGTTGATTTCCTAAAAATCATAAATTTTATGTACAATTAATATTTATCTATTATTACAATAATATTTATTTTATGGAATAAAACGAAGGCGGACTGGAAAATTTTTATCAGCAGATTACCGGCCCTCTATTTTTATTTCATTAATTAAATTATACGTAGAACCTCAAATCTTTACAAGTCCACTGAAACTTTATAATTATATACTTTATAATTTTCTTCTGTAAAGTGTAACGAGCATACTCTCATAGACGACGATATAGCGCCCACTTTTAGAACTTCCACCCATGCACCGAAGCATTCGATGATATCTTCTTGATATAATTTATTTTCCAATTCCTAAGAAAATGACAAAAGCGGACAACGTTATGTTTACACGCACGATTCTAACAAACATAGAGATGTAAGGATAGCGTACGTGAGCAAGCTGAAAAAGCCATATAGCATTAGAAAGAGAATGCCGCACAGAGGCGCCTTGTATCTTCGTCTAATAACGCGTGCATAATCGTACGATAAATATGTTAATGTAACACCGATCAGCGAGTGGCGTCAGTGCGCATTTCCAGTTAAACAAGGACAGAAGTCTTCTATGCAACGTTCTCTTTTTCTATTCTCACGTAATTTCGTTATTTCTTTAATTTTACTATTTCTTTTATATTTATCCGATTCAAAATAATTTCAATTCTCCTGCTAGTTATGCAAGCATAAAACGTTTCAAAATGTCCTGGAATTTTTCGAAAAAATCCATGCACGAAAGCTATCGCTTCATTTACGTAACTAATATACCTACCAAACTAGCGTTATCGTTGCAATTCACATTTTCCTAACGAATACGTCCTAATAAATAAAAAGTTAAACACACGATCATATTTTGGACATTCTCTCGTTCAGCTTGTAAAAAGTATACGAAAAGATCATTACGGAACGTTCTGTCGTATCGTCCTTATCATTATCTCTGTATCGCCTCGTTTCAAAATCTTACTTTTTCTCCATTCGCGATTGTTTCGCGATTCCGATTGATGCGTTCGTCGATAGGCTGGCAAGTTCAATACCGTTTCGATCCGCGAAAACAGCGTCGAGCGATTAGATCCACAGCGGCTAGTAGAAACGCAGAAAAAAGACGGCGGGAACGAGACGAGAGCAGAGAGCAGAGGCCGATTGGGTCGTGGCGAGCTTAGTTGCGGTACGCAAGCACGCCGAAGCGGAGCGCAACTTCGGAACCGCGTACGGTGGGTGGGAGTTGCAGCCCTCGTGAGTCAAGAGAGCGAAGAGTAACCGAAAGAACAGACTTCTACTCAGTCTGTCCGCGGCCGTCCGTCAAGCAGACGTCCCCGACTCTCTTGTGCCCCTACTTCTATCGTTTCCGTCCGTCGTCTCATATCGAGTGTCTGTTTCACAGTGCCTCGAAGACCTCGTGAATGTCACATGTCGTCGATGGTACGACCGTTATCACCACCGACACCCTGATCGACCATCACCGTTGCTCCATCGATCGCGAGGATCGATCTTGATCGTTGTGCACGCGCTTATGACAGTTTATCGAGTCGAAGCTATCCATCGTGCATGAGAACGACTGAACGTGTGGTCAAGTGGCAAAACGTGCAAGCATGTGGTACACGAATTTTATCACGGGTCTAATAGGCCTGATTTTCATCGTCGGCTTGCCACCCTGGTGTTCAGACGCGTTTAACGTGGAGACGAAACATTATGCGGTTTATCGAAACGAGACCAGATCCATGTTTGGATTCGCTGTTTCCGTGTACCGGGATAGATATGGTCGAGGATGGTGAGTCTTTATCTTCCCTTGATTTTTGCTTATTTATGGCTTCTCTTGCATTGCAATGTGTTAAAGTTGTTGTGCAAAAATGTTATCGAGACGAAAGGTTTCTGCGTGTCTATAATTCTTATAATGCAATTTTGTTTGTTTTTTTTTTTTGGTACTTAAAGTTACGATAAAATAAATTCTGATCGTCGTATTAGAAGAATACTTTCTGATGCTGCTGGCTCGAAATTCGTGCAATTCTACAAATAACTTTACTTCGATCGTGCAAGAAGGAACAGCCTACTTTGTTTACGATTGATTTTGAAGGGTATACGAGTCGTTTGCGATTGTTGAAATTTATTGTTTCCTGGATATTTGTCCAAACATAACTTAGTATGTCGAAGAATATCTTTGAAGATATTTTGAAAGTATTACGATTGTTCATTTCGAACTCGTTCAATTCGGCTGTTTCATTACGATAAATGAATAGGTGAAACTAAAATAATTATTTTTTGAATGCTAATTATCTACACTAAATAATGAAATTGCGATATAAACATCGGGATTGGTAAATACCAAATAAGAAAGAACTAAGAAATTAGAAATAAGAACCCAACAATCTGCCTGTAAGAGACTAAAATATAAAACAATATCATTATTATTATTATTATCATCATCATCATCATATAATGAAATTGTGAATTAATCATGGAATTGATCGATCTTGTGTAAAGGTGAAGTAAAATCACGAACGACTCGACACGCTACAAATCACCGACAGGTTGGATCATAGTTTTAAGTGGGCGATGTGTAATTCGATGACACATAATTCTTGGTAAAGATATGATTACACGCCGAATTTTCCTCGCATTTCGATTAAAGTTACGGAAGGTAAATAAAAATATTTATCGTACAACAAGCGTTTCACTTTCGCTATCTTTTATTACTTGCACGTCGAATCAGATTTTAAATATTTCGCTTAAAAACAAAACTCGATTAACATTTTTACCAATTATGGGCCGTTCGTCGTTTAAGACTTCTCGGTATTGTGTCAGAGTCCGAGAATTTTTTCGTCGGTAACCCGTGACCCACATAATTTCAGAAATCCGTGTATCGAACAATTCGTGGCTCTGAATCATGGTTATTAAATGTCTGCTGCATATTTTAGTTCATACGCGTCCTCAGTTTACGAAGAAGCGCAATTCCGCTGACGGAAGGAACATTAACTCGCTACGTAAGTGGTATTAACGCACCTTCTGAGTTACACTTATCGCGTAAACGTATTCGAGAAAAACGAGGCATTAAAATACGAGAAACGAGAAATTACTTTAAGTAGATGAAATATTTTTCTCGTGGTCGAACGATTTTCCGACTAACAACTTTGATAGGTATACGGGAAGATGATGGAGGATAATTTATTGGATGTATTGGCGATATTTATCGTCGCGTAAATGGAAGACACTCCCACGAATTTAGGATGATCACGCTATCCTTTTAAATCCTCGTGCCAGAATCTAAATAGCAAAGCGACTTCTGCTGTTTCACCGCGTTCGTCGGATAATGAACCCCGCTAATGAAATATCGACTCTCGTTTGCCTACGACGTCTCTGAAAGCGTGTAATTTCTTCTGTTGCAAACACGCGACAACCATTCAGACCGTAGGATCGATCTCTTTAATCATAGGCGAATTCAGCGTATCGAACGCGGTCGTGTTTCTCCAAACGATGCGAAATAATAGCGTTGTCGTGGTTAATTTTGTATCGCAGTGTTGAATTTAAAAGCGCCATGGAATTAATTACGAAGCTTGTGTAATGCGATAGCTAGTAGAGTTGCAAAGATAGCAGTGATATTTGAGTCTTTTTAAGAAGGCAGACTTTACATTAAAGAATGTAGAATCGTTAATATATTAGTAACACAATTTCGATTCTATACTTGAAACTTAATCTTATCTCGAGACAATAATCGCCTCTAAACGATCTGAATCTTAATATCATTAGTAATAGTACACCAAGGTATTACTCGCAACAACTGCTAATTGCTATCATTCACAGTCGATGACTCGTTGGCAAACAGATCTGCTTCGTCGATTATCCCCGTGACACGACGTTCGAGGGCAGACCCTTGGATAACAGGTGCTTGGATCTCGGTGAGCTTAGAATCGTTTCTCCTTTTATGTCCCCTTTCGAGAACAAGGCGAGTCAGTTCTCCCGTTTCATCCGGACGCTCGTAACTGTTCTCCATCTTTCGATGACGATAAACACCCATCGGTGATAAGCGTTAGGTCGTAACGTATAAAACGTTCGTTTTCTTCGATCAAAATAAATATTCATTTTCGCTTCTCATCTGTTGCCGAAATCCATACGAAAAATATCGTTCTCCTGCATTTTATAAGAACGCCAACTCGAAGAAAGTTACTATTACGATTTATAACGAAATTAGCAGGCAATTCGGTATAGGTACAATTATGAAAATAATTTCAAATTTTATTTTGAAGGATTTTAGTAGGATAGTAGTAGGATTTAGTACCAGAGGTACACCTGTTTCGGTAAGTAGGCAGATGAAATCGACCCATGACTACTTAACGAAGTATGCGCTTATCGCTATACGTTGTAACGTAACGTTTCATCGAAGAAGATCACGGTTTACGCTATCGTCTACACTAATATCGTATACATATTCGTTGTCGTTTCGAGTACGAGCAGTGTCTCTCGTGAGTCACGCGGCCCACGAATAAACGTTTCTGCTCCAGCTCCTCCGGCGACGATGGATATAAATAATGCCGACAGAACGAGGAAACGCGAGTAATAGCATAGGTTACGTCGGCTCTGTGCGGAAAAATGCGCGCGAAAGGTCGGCTAAGGTCCAGGCCACGTAATGTATTCGAATTCTAAAGGATGTCGAAGCTACCACGCTATCGAAGTCGATAGAGACGCCATCGACTGACTACCGGCTCGAATCTTTGCTGCGCATGCAAATCCAATCCTCCAGCTTTCGTAAACGTGCCCATCTTCTTCGCGATCGTGTTTTCAACCTGGGTGAGTTTTAAGAATGGTACCGCACGACCGTTCATTCCGATAATTGGATTGGACCGCATAATTTGACAGGTTCGAGGGATTTGCGAAAGCGAGCTGGCTTTTTCGTTCGTTGGTGTCGATCGTCGGGACAGTTTATCCGACAGACAGGTAGAATCGATGGGATCAGGGTCATCATGAGAGTCATAAATAAATTTTATTCGACGACACGATTTTGTTTTTTTATTTGTAGAAACGCAGATGTTTTTCTACCGTAGTTGTGCTTTTCCGATAGTTTACTCGATCTAACGTTATATGTAATGGATCTATCGACACGACAGCTACGGTATATTGGCGTTACAGATAGTTCTCTCAATCCGTCCTGTTTTCTCTCGTCAGCTACTTACACGGTTTCCCGTACATTGTTGTCTCGGAAGACAATAGACGTCGTAATATCAGAGAGGAAATAAAAGGACGGACCTGTGGACTGGCGTTCAGGATATCCAAAGCCACAGGAAGCCCGGATTACATCGTTCGTTACGAGAAACTTCGTAGGCGCTTATATTTAGGCCAGCTCGTGGAAACTTTACGAGCGTTCATCCTCGTTAATCCGGCGCGAGGCGGACGTACCAGGTTGCTACCGTACTGTCGTCGATCTGCCCTCGCGTTAATTCCCGAAATAGGATCTATATCGGAAAGCCGGCGATTTAGCCGTAATAGAGGAACGCACTCCTTCCTACATAAGCATTGCCATACTCGAGGAAAAACAAGTTGAATCATTTGCAACTTTACAATTAGTGCAGAATCTTCTGAAATTCTAGATATACGTGCGTTTGTACGCTGTTAGGTGTAGTGGTGAGGAGTAGCCGACACAGGATTACATCATCATTGACATGATTCATAAAAAGAAACGCGTATTTACTAATTTGCATGAGCGCCACAACCATTTAGGAGACGAGGCGTTAAAAATTGAATTAAAAAATCGTACAGGATAGAATAGTGTAGAATAAACTGTACGAACTTGTTGGGATGCAAGTAATTACGCGTCAATCGTCATCTTCCTTTGTACAAAATATTTTACAGTTCGGTTCTAGAACTTCTACCTATCGAACGCGACGAAAAATCATCACGACACCATCGAAGTAAAGCTACCGACCCGATTCTCGATTATCAGCGCTTTCGTTCGAAGATTCGCCTTCGAAAAAGAAAAACAGAATTCCTGTAGCAGAGATTCGAATGGCGTAGAAGATGATCGTCGCTTTCGCTCTCGATCGTTTCTCGATAGGCGAAACAGGTCTGTCACTAAACGCGGTAGCGAGCAACACGTTCGTCGGATTCAGAGCACGAGGTTGGCTGTGATACAGGATGTTAGGTCATCCGTTACGTGGGCGGCTGGTAGCTCTCGCTTTGCTCT